TCTGGCGTGAGCCTGTCATGGTTCTCTCTTGGAGACTCGGCTTCATGCGTAGAGACGGCAGTACTTTTTCTGTTGGGCACATTGGAGTGTGATCTCAAAATCCCGGGATACTGGAGCTGATGCCCAAATGTGGACCTATTTCTCGTTGAGCAGGCGATGGAAGGTGAGCGGGAGGAGGTGGCATGGATGAGGTGTCGGCTAGGGTGGGGGTGATGGTGCGGTGGGACTGTGCCTGTCTAGGTTGATTACCAGATGAGTTGTGATGGTGTTGCGGGCCCCGAGTAAGGAATAGGATGATGGTGATGCTGTCGTGCTGATGAGGAGGTGAGCATGATGATGTTGCCGATGCTGACGTTGCTGCTGATGATGTTGATGATGATGCCGATGCTGCTGATGATGATGAGGATGATGAGGATGATGAGGATGAGGATGAGGATGATGATGCTGCTGATGATGATGACGGTCATGATGACGGTGGTGATGATTATGACGATGACGATGGTGCGGATGAGGACGGGGGAGAGCAGGGATTGGGAAGAGGGGGAGGATGGGGATAGTGATGGCGACGATGCTGGTTATGAGCACGATGACGATGATGGCCATGATGGTCATACTGATGATGTTGATGGTGGTGGTGGTGGTGATTGTGATGGTGATGGTGAAGGTGTTGATGATGATGATGATGATGATGATGATGATGGTGGTGGTGGTAATGAGGAGGATGAGGATGATGAGGAGGATGAGGATGATGGTGATGACGACGACGACGGATGATGATGATGTTGCTGATGATTATGATGTTGTTGATGATGACGACGACGGAGCATGATGATGTGACGATGATGATGCTGTTGTTGATGATGCTGATATTGTTGGTGATGGTGGTGGTGATGGTGGTTGTGGTGATGATGATGGTTCTACTGATATGATGCTGCTGATGATGATGCTGATGATTCTGCTGATGATGCTAATGATGATGATGGTGGTGATGATGATGATGCTGAGGATGATTATGATGGTGCTGCTGATGATGCTGCTGATGATGATGCTGATGATGATGATTATGATGCTGCTTATGATGATGATGATGATGATGATGATGAATGGTGATGATGATGTTGCTGCTGATGATGAGTATGATGCTGATGTTGATGATGATGCTGATGATGATTATTATGATGGTGATGCTGTTGCTGATGACGATGATTGCGATGCTGATGATGATGCTGATGAGGATGATGACGATGATGATGATAATGATGATGGATGCTGATGCTGATACTGATGATGACGATGCACATGATTTTGATGATGATGCTGATGATGCTGATCATGTTGATGATTATGATGATGATGACGATGATGATGATGGTGGTGGTGGTGGTCATGATGATGATGATGATGATGATGATGATGATGATGATCACGATGATGATGATGATGATGATGATGATGATGATGATGGTGATGATGATGATGATGCTGATGCTGATGATGATGATGATGGTGATGGTGATGGTGATGGTGATGGTGATGGTGATGGTGATGGTGATGGTGATGGTGATGATGATGATGATGATGGTGGTGATGATGATGATGCTGATGAGGATGATGATGATGATGATGATGATGATGCTGATGCTGATGCTGATGCTGCTGATGATGATGATGATGATTATGCTGATGATGACGATGATGATGATGATGAGGAGGAGGAGGAGGATGAGGAGGAGGAGGAACAAGAAGAAGAGGAGGAGGATGCGGGATGGGGTGGATGATGATGATGTGATGATGATGTTGATGATGATTATGTTGATGATGATGATGATGTGATGATGATGATGATGATGATGATGATGATGATGATGATGATATGATGAGGTGGAGGAGGAGGAAGGTGAGAGGAGGAGGAGGAGGAGGAGGAGGAGGTTGAGGATGGGGATGGTCATTGTATCATACGATGGTCAGGACCTTGGTGCGCTACCAGATCTGCAAGCAGTGGCGCACCACCGCCACCGCGCTCTGATGCGACCTCGCGGCCGAGAGTGCGTGCGAGCCCGCCGAGCCCAGGGCGGGGGCGATCCCGGCCAGCCGAGGCGGGAACGAGGCGAGCTCCGCCCTCGTCTGCTGGGCCCAGGGCGCACGCCGTGCCGCCCCGGGCCCTGCAGCACACGCCCAGGGACGGCGCCCCGGCAGCGAGCGGCCCGAGGGGATGGGGAGGGCGCCCACCCTGCGCAGCGCAGGCGCCCACGGGGAAGGCCGAGGGGCCGCGGTTTTTGCAGCCTGCGACCCAGCTGGTCCCCCCCCCCCCTCCTCTCCTCGCCCCCCGTCCTCCCTCCTCGCCTCCTCCTCCTCTCCTCCTTCCTCTCTCCTCTCCTCTCTCCTCCTCTCCTCCTCCTCCCTCCCCCTCCTCCTCCTCCTCCTCCTCCTCCTCCTCCTCCTCCTCCTCCTCCTCCTCCTCCTCCTCCTCCTCCCTCCTGCTCCTCCCGTGCGGCGGCGGCGGCTTTCTCGCAGCCCCGGGACCAGCCGTCTGCCTTCAGGCGGACCACCTCTCGCCCCGCTGCGCCGAGTGGCAGGGCAGGGAGCACGGCGGCCGAGGCCCAGCACCCCGCCGAGAGAGGTGCGCAACGACAGGACTCCGAGCGCGGAGCGGCTCCGAAGGGAGGCCGGGGCCCAGCAGGTGTGCTGCTGTGGCGTGGCGAGCGGCGAGGCCAGGAGGCAACGCCAAGGCCCGGGGGTCCCCCATTGCGGCGGGGGTGGGGGCCCACTGGGGTGCCCCCGGGCCAGGAGCAGGAGGAGGAGGAGGAGGAGGAGGAGGAGGAGGAGGAGGAGGAGCAGGAGAAGGAGGAGGAGGAGGAGGAGGAGGAGGAGGAGGTGGAGGAGAGGGGGGATGGGATAAGAGAGAGGCGGGGGGGATCACGAGGAGGGGGGGGGAGGGGGAGAGGAGGAGGAGGAGGAGGAGGAGGAGGAGGAGGAGGAGGAGGGTGCCCTGCCGCAGGAGGCCATTGCGTCCGTCGACTCCATGCTCCAGACGAAGGGCAGGGAGGAGCCGACTCGCGCTTGTGCGGCGCCCCCCTGGGTGAGCGACGAGGACGATCGAGGAGGCGTCAAGGAGGAGGAGGCGTCGAGGAGGCGTCGATGAGACGTCGAGGAGGAGGAGAAGGATGAGGACCAGCGCAGACCCAAGACGCATCGACGACGTTGCAATAAGTCCCGGGCCCTTGGATACTTAGTTTTTTGCATTGCGGGAAGGGCACCGCTGGAAGACAACCGTCTGAGCAACCTGACTGTTGTGCCCGGACAACCTTAATTCGTGTCTGAATGCGATTCTCGGGACTGCAAACACCAGAAGTCAAATCTATCAACGTGACTGTTGCGTCCTGACAATATGAAGCCGTGGCAAAAGACACCGCCTGGGACCTCAACCATACGAGTCCTTCAGAACCTTTGCGCACTCGTAAGACGACTGTGCGCGGCGCTCAGGCGAGAGCCACACTTGCACATGAGCCGCCTTCCATCCGTGAAGCTGTTGCGTTGTTTCGTGACGAATGTGCGCGGCGCTATGGCGAGGACCGCACTTTGAAGAGACCCCCCGCCCATCTAAGACGAGTGTGCGTGCGCGGCGCTAGGGCGAGAGCCGCATTCTTAAAACCATTCGCCCTCCATCCTCAAACCTCTTGCAAACTTTGAGTGACGAGTGCACGCGGCGCGAAGGCGAGAACCACACTTTGAAAACGGCACGGCCTCCATCCTTGAAGCGATCGCGAGCTTTCACAAGACGAATGTGCGCGGCGCTGAGGCGAGAGCCCCATTTTTTGAGAACGTCCCGCACCTGGGCAAATGCTGCGAAGTTCAAGCTTCAGGATCGTTCGTGGTGATGACGTTTGAGGCGAGGTGCCTGGCCCTCTCGACACTGGCACGTCTGGGAGCGGGATAGGGAAGAGCTGTTCAGAAGTGACGGAGGAGGGAGATGTGGGAGGAGGAGGAGGAGGAGGAGGAGGAGGAGGAGGAGGAGGAGGAGGAGGAAGCGGGGGAGAGAGGGGCCGTCTAGAAGCAGGAGGAGTTGGAAGAGGAGGAGGAGGAGGAGGAGGAGGAGGAGGAGGAGGAGGAGGAGAAGGAGCAGAAAAAGGAACAGGAGGAGGACGAGGAGAGGATTCGACCAGATGGGTTCGAGACAGACTCGTGACAAACCGCATGCGACTTGCCTACAGCGACCCTGCCAGACACTGCGGGCCGTCCCCGAGCCAGACTGGATAGGTGTGCGCTCTGCAGCCCAGAAGAGCAAGCACATTTTTGTTGGAAACGTTGAATGCCAGCTTTGCCTAAGACACTAGCGAATCCCAGCACGCTATAGTGAATCCCAGCATTGTTGCTGATGGCCGTGTGCTCCTGCTTTCTCCACCCTCGGCCCGTCGGCGATTTTCCGCACGAGCGAATGTCGGCAGTGCAGCTGATGGCCCTTTGCTTCCGCTTCCATTGCCTGCCTTCTCGCACGTCCTGATCCCAGCACTGCAGCTAAGCTGTTTCTCGCGCGACCCCCACGCAGCGCGAAGGCCTGTTGTCACCGCCGCCGTCTCGCGTGAAGTGGTCCCTGCACCAGCCGAGATGCGTCTCGCACGACCCCGTGCGCAGTGACAGAGCCTGCTGCCGCTGCCGGCCTCCTCGCACGACCCGATCCCCGCACTGCAGCTGAGAGCCCGGCCCACGAGCACCTCGTCCCACGAGTCAGCCTGTGCATTGTAGCCGAGACGTGTCTCGCACGACCCCGTGAGGAGGAGCAGACGGAGGACCAGGAAGAGGAGTCGGAGGAGGAGGAGGAGGAGGAGGAGGAGGAGGAACAGGAGTATGCGGAGGAGGAGGAGGAGGAGGAGGGGGAGGAGGAGGGAGGAGGAGGAGGAGGAGAAGGAGAAGGAGGAGGGGGAGGAGGAGGAGGAGGAGGAAGGGAGAGGAGGAGGAGGAGGAGGCGGGGAGGAGGAGGAGGAGCGTGCCAGCACAGGCACCCCGACGGGAGCGTGTGCAGAGCTGTGCTGAGGAGGACGGGACGAGGAGGAGGAGGTAGGAGGAGGAGGAGGAGGAGGAGGAGGATATTGCTCGTGGAGTGACCAGGCGCGCATCGTCCGAGGAGGAGGAGGAGGCGGAGGAGGAGGAGGAGGAGGAGGAGGAGGAGGAGGAGGAGGAGGAGGAGGACGGGGGGGATGGCGGTGGGCGCTGCTTGCCTTCCGCGGCGCCTGGGGAGGTCCGCGGTCGAGTGGTCCGATCCAGGATACTCTATGCTTCCCGCCTCGTCTCTCGAACTCGCGAAACTGCTGGAGGTGGTCGCGCGGGGCTAGGGCTAGGATAAATCAGTTCCAGAGTGTTCCAGAACGCTCTCAGAGCGTTCTGCAACACTCTGGAGGTGGTCAGGCCAGGGCTAGGGCTAGGGCTAGGATAATCCAACACCCACATCCGCTGCCCCCTGGGACAGCGGCTCCCTGGGCGGTAGGTATTCATCTGGCCTTGATTCCCCGGCCTCATCGCCGGTGTTTGTTCGCTGCTGGCTCCGGCTGGGGCTCCAAGCAACGGGTGCACATGCCAGCCGTTTTCGGACGGTGCTAGGACGAGGATAAATATTTTCCAAAGCGTTCCAGAACGCTCTCAGAGCGTTCTGGAACGCTCTGAGAAGGCCGCGGCGCCCGAGACGTCCTCCAGAGCCGATGGATCTCAGAGATTCCCGCGATTTATCCTCACCCAGATTTATCCTCGTCCTGGCCTCGTCTTACGAACTCATGAAACTGCTGGAGGTTGTTCTTTTGCAGGCCAGATGCTCGCAGCAGCCCCAGTGGCGCAGCAAGAAAGAGTATACGGTGGCCTGCGGCCCATCCCGCCGCCGTGCCCTGGGAGCTTCGCTTTGGGAGGTCTCAGGTGGGCTTTTGGGGTCCTCGAGGGGGTCTCCAGGGGAGGAGGAGGAGGAGGAGGAGGAGGAGGAGGAGGGAGGAGGAGGAGGAGAGGAGGAGGAAACGGAGGAGGAAACGGGGAGGAAAACGGAGGAGGAGGAGGAGGAAAAGGGAGAGGAGGAAAGGAGGAGGAGGAGGAGGAGGAGGAGGAGGAGGAGGAGGAGGAGGAGGAGAGGAGGAGGAGGAGGAGGAGGAGGAGGAGGCGGAGGAGGAGGAGGAGCGTGCCAGCACAGGCACCCCGACGGGAGCGTGTGCGGAGCTGTGCTGGACCCGAAGGGGCAGCATGCGCGGTCCTCCGCGGTGAGCGGGTGGCTGGTCCGCCCCCACGACGCCCGTTGCGTCGTGCTTGCGCCGTGGAGCGAGGAGATGGGCTGCGCGGTCCACAAGGCGATGGTTTTGCCGCACGCGGCAGCCAGCGGGCCCGAAGCGCGCATGGACCCGATCATCCACGCCCCCTGGGTGGCGGAACCCATCAAGGTGGACTTCACCGTCGTCAGCGCTCTGTCCCTGGATTCACTCGAGCGCGGGTCAGCCCGGCGCGCCGGGGTCGCAGCCGCGGCGGAGGACGACAAGAGGACGCGCTACACTGGACTGTGGATGGTGCCGTTCGCGGTCGCGGGCCACGGCCGCTTCGGCGAGGACGCCCTGGCACTGGTGCGCCCTTTGGCCCCGCGCTTGGGCACGTCCGCATCCAACGCTCCCCGAGCCCCTTGGGGCACGGCCCAGCGGCAGTGGACGTGGACATCCTCCTGCGGCGCAACATGCCGCGCAGCCGGGCCTTGGCGCCAGGTCGGGCTCACCTGGGCGGGAAGCCTTGGCACCTGGCCCCGCGCGCCCTTCGACGCCAGAGCTGACGAAGCACATGTGCGTTGTTTTTTTTGGGGGGGGGGTCCACCAGCGCACTGGGTGCCAGGCCCTCGAGATCCTGACCCTCCGTGCGCCGCGCGCAAGGCCCAGTTGCGGGAATGGGCGCCCTTTTTCGCGCAGCTTTGTGCTCGAACGCCTTCCTCACATCCTGCTCACCCGCGCTCTCGTTGCCATCGTCGTCGTCGTCGTCGTTGTCGTCGTCGTCCTCGTCGTCGTCGTTGCCGCCGCTGCCGCCTTTGCCACCGCCGCTTCCGCCGCCGCCGTCATCGCCGGCGCCGTTTTCGTCCTCGCGTTCGTCGTCGTCGTCGTCGTCGTCGTCCTCCTCCTCGCCCTGGCCGGTCGACGAGGCGACCCCCGGTAGCCCGCCAGGCCCGCGCCCTGCGCCCCAGGCCCGCGCCCGCGGCGGCCGGCGCCCGCGGCAGGACCCCGCGCCGCCGGAGACGTGGGGCAGCGAGTACACAGGCCGCCGCCACCGCCGCTCGCGGCCGCCGCTCGCGGCCGCCGCTCGCGGCCGCCGCCGCCGCCGCCGCCGCCGCCGCCGCCGCCGCCGCCGCCGTCGTCGTCGTCGTCGTCGTGGTCGTCGTCGTCGTCGTCGTCGTCGTCGTCGTCGTCGTCGTCGTCGTCGTCGATGCCGTCGCTGCCGTCCTCGTCGTCCTCGTCGTCGGCAGCGACTCCGCGCGAGGCCTCGGGCCGGGTCTGCTTCCGCGCCCTCCCTCGTCGAGAACGGCAGAACCCCGAACCTTGACGACACAATGGAGGCGTGGCCCCAGACCTCCTCGCGTTGTGAAAAAATCACGACGGGAGGTTTTTCGCTATTTTCGGCCTCCGGGGGCCCTCGCCGGGCCTCGGGGCCGTCAAAAAACGACCCAGGATGAAAAACCGGTCCCGGGGAAGGGGTCCAGACCTCTGGGGGTCGACGTTGTGAAAGAATCACAACGTCGGGGGTTTGGGGCCTCACCCAGGCCCCCGTCGTCGCCCTGTAGGGCTAGCAGCTCTGGGTGGTTCGGTCTGATGCCTCTGCACAGAGAGGCCCTCCGTCCCGAATGTTCGGTGGCCTTCCTAACTTAGGGGTCCCCTCCCTCACGGTTAGGCTTAAGTCGGGCCTGTCCCCCTACAGAGGGTTTTCGACGAAAAATGAAAGATACACCAAAAATAGACAAAACATAGTACAAAAATAGTCTGGGGACTATGTTTTGAGCATTTTTTGGCCATTCTGGGGTATTTGTTTGACTATTTCTTATTTTTCGTCGAAAATCCCCCCTGTAGGGGGGACACGCCCGACTTGAGGTTAGGGGTACTTCTATTGCTGATCACTCCCGGCTCTCGCTGCCCAGCCTTGACTCCGGATCCGCCCTACTTTATGTTGGGTGCAGAAATTTCCGCCCTACTTGTTCGGCTTCCTATAGGTGGATATCCGATGCAGTTCTAAGTTGGAAAAAAGCCAAAGTAGGGCGGATCTGGAGTCAGGGAGGACCCCAGTTAAGGGGAGCCGCTTAGTGATTGGTCCCCGAAGCCCAAAATATGGATTGGAGTCGCTAAACCAGGTCTGCCGTAGCTGATGCTGTTCGGGTTGCGGCAATTCCGGTTAGTGAGTCGCGTCGTGGCTCTGGGCCTGGCTGGGCTCGAGCGTGAGCGACGGGGCGACCGACGGGCCGGGGCGGGGGTGCCCTCGCTCGTCTGCAGGTGGCCCTCGGCGCGGCGCGCGGCGGAGGAGGAGGAGGAGGGACGTCGGCGGCCGGGGGAGGGAAAGGGGGAGGGGGAGGGGGAGGGGAGGGGGAGAGGGAGGGGGAGGGGGAGGGGAGGAGGAGGAGAGGAAGAGGAGGAGGAGGAGGAGGAGGAGGAGGAGGGAGGAGGAGCAGGAGGAGGAGGAGAGGAGGAGGAAGGAGGAGGAGGAGGCGGAGGAGGAGGAGGAGGAGGAGGAGGAGGAGGCGGAGGAGGAGGAGGGGGAGGACGAGGAGGGGGAGGAGGAGGAGGAGGAGGAGGAGGAGGAGGAGGAGGAGGAGGAGGAGGAGGAGGTCCGTGAGATCTCCTGAATCGGTGCCAAAGCCCCCTCCCTGGCGCGCGGATCATCAGTTCTAGCCTATACACAGAGAGGGGGGGGCGCGTACACTTGCTTTCAGAGCGCGGATCATCGGAACGAAAATGCTGCTCTCGCCTGAGCGCCGCGCACATTCGTTTTAAAGCCTGCAAGCGTTATTTGGAGAGTCATCAAATACACGGCTCTCACTTTAGCGCCGCTCACAATCGTTTTAAACAAATGCGTCAGTTGCACAGGTGGAGAGCAGCTCCGTTTCCAAACGGGGCTCTCGCCTCAGACTTCATGATCTTCCCTTTCCCTCCGTTCTCATTCCTCCTTCCTCCTCACCCTTCCTCCCCTCCTCCCGTCCGAGGCTGGCGTCGTACCTGTCCAGCGCATGGGGAGTCGAACTTTCTGGTCCTCGGAAGGCGGTGGGTGTTGGTTGACACATTCGGTGCCCCTGGGGCCCCAACACCCGCATCCGCTGCCCCCTGAGACGGCGGCTCCCCGGGCGGTAAACATTCATCTGGCCTCGATTCCCCGGCCTCATCGCCGGTGCTTGTTCGCTGCTGGCCCCGACTGGGGCTCCAAGCAATGGGTGCACGGCTGCACATGCCAGCCGTTTTCGGACGGGGCTAGGACCAGGACGAGGATAAATCCGTTCCAGAGCGTTCCAGAACGCTCCCAGAGCTTTCGGGAACGCTCTGGGAAAGCCGCGGCGCCCGAGACATCCTCCAGAGCCGCCGGGTCTCAGAGATCCTCGCTTTGTTGTTCTCACCCGATTGTTGTCCTCGTCCTGGCTTCGTCGTACGCTTTTGGCAACCGCGCTGCCCACTCGAGCGCCTGGCGGTGGTGCCGAGGCCAGGTGCAGGCGGCGGATTTCGACCCCCCCTCCTCCTCCTCCTCCTCCTCCGCCTCCTCCTCCTCCTCCTCCTCCTCTTCCTCCGCTCCTCTCCTCCTCCTCCTCCTCCTCCTCCTCCTCCTCCTCCCTCCTCCCTCCTCCTCCTCCTCCTCCTCCTCCTCCTCCTCCTCCTCCTCCTCCTCCTCCGTGCCGTTCTCCTCGCTCCCCATCCGGGCGGCGGTGGCAGAGCCGGTGGCTGGGGGGGAGCCGGCTGGAGGCCAGAAGGAGGCGGGCACTGGCGCCATCGGCATGGTGGAGTTCATCCTGTCGGAGACCAAGAAGGAGCCGGCGAGGGCGGAGCGGGAGGAGGAGAAGGAGGAAGGAGGAGAGGGGGGAGGAGCAAGAGGAGGAGGAGAAGGGAGGAAGAAGGCGAGTTATAAGGTTAGATAATGTTAGTAGCAATGATGGAGTAATGCTTGTGATCGTAATGGTCAGACAGGTAATTTTGGCAATAATGGGAAGAAGTAACCGCATGCCGATGATAATACGCTGAGGCCGAACTTCATTATCACCTCGAAACGCTATGTTGAGATAGCCACATCAAGCGATGTTGATATAGCAACATCAAGCGAAGCGATCACACTTTTTCAGGATGTGTCAAGCGAAACCAATAATTTTGGGAGGCAGACTCAAGCGAAACGAGCAATGTTCCAAGGATGTCTCAAGGATGTTTCAAGCTAAACCAGCAAGTTGTTTCTTTTTATTTATATGTTTTATTATCTTCCTTTTTATATATGTATCTATCCCCGCGCGCGCCTGAACTGTTTTATCTCTGGGGTTGATTATCCATGGAAAGGGGAGCACATGAGCTACCCTACATGAGCACTTAACAAAATCAATTTTCATAATGCGTTTGTAAATTAAAATTGATAGATTTGGAACTTTCCATTTTCCCGTTCTTCTTCTCTTCTTCTTCTTCTCTTCTTCTTCTCTTCTTATTATTATTCTACTTTTCTCTTCTTATTTTATATTTCTATCTGTCCTCACGCTCGCCTGAACTTTTTTATCCCTGGGGTTGATTATCCATGGAAAATGAAGCACATGAGCTACCCTACACGAGCACTTAAAAAATCAATTGTCATAAAGCGCTTGTAAATTAAAATTGATAGATTTGGAACTTTGGATTTTTCCTTTCTTCGTCCTCTTCTGATTCTCCTCTTCTTCTTCTTTCTTATTATTCTTCTACTGTATGAGGATATTTATATGAAAACTAAACGCCAAGGATGTCTCAAAACGTGCTCGGCTTGGTCTCCTCTTGATCATCTCTTACTTCGAGATTATGCTGAGGTCTGCTGGGCTACTTTTATTATCTTTCCCTGAACCCCGAACTTTATTATCCCCTAGTGTTTATTCTCACGGGCATGAGGTTATACGAATAGTAGTTGTAATAATGGTAATACGAACATTTGGGGTTGGAATAGTAATGTTAAACGTAACAAATCGAAGCTTACTTCTAGAAATACGGGCATGAATAGTTTTATTATAATGAATACGAATAGCAGTATTAATAATCATACTACGAATGACAACGATGACAATGAACCATCATACACATCGTACAAGCATTACTACTTATTCGAACAGTATACATACTACCAATGCTGGTAATATGCGAGTCATTACACATGTGAGAATTTATACGACGAGTAATACTAAGACGAATACTACTCCGATGTTGATGATGACGACGAGGAGGAGTACGATGATGATGATGATGATGATGATGCTGATGCTGATGCTGATGCTGATGTTGATGTTGATGTTGCTGATGATGATGATGATGATGATGATGATGATGATGATGATGATGATGATGATGATGATGATGCTGCTGCTGATGATGATGATGAGGAGGAGGAGGAGCATGGAGATTTTGACACGGATGAGGATGAGGAGGAGCAGGAGGGTGAAGGATAGCTCGGAGGAGGAGGAGGACGAAGGAGGATAACTCCCTCCGCTTCGAGGTCGTTGCGGCGAATGTCCGCGCGCCGTCTTCTCGTTTGAGAGGGCAGGCCAGCGATTCCGCCAGGAGGTTGGTAGTTGCTTTTCCTCGACCTCATTAGTGCGTACTCCCGACTTCAGAACGCTTGTAGTGCCTGTCCCATTTCACCTCCTCGTCCTCGCTCTTGTCTTCCTCCTCTCCTTTTCCTCCTCCTTTCCTCACTTCGCTCGCTCTCGCCAGCCCCCCATCCCCCCCAACACCCCCTGCCCTCTTCCTCCCCTTCTCCTCCCGACCCTTCCTCCTCCTCCTCCTCTCCAGGTGCTGCTCGTCCTCGTCTCTCCTCCTCCTCCTCCTCCTCCTCCTCCTCCTCCTCCTCCCTACCCCTCCCTCCTCCCCTCCCTCTGTCCTCCTCGGACGCGCGGTGGGGAACCGACAGCTCCGCGCGTGCACGCGCACGGGCCTTGAGAGCGGCCCCGGTCCTCCTCCTCCCCCTCCTCCTGCTCGCCCCCCTCGTGCCGGGACAACTGCGGAGGCAAGTGTTTATCAAGTGGTTGATTCGCTTTTGGGGGGGGTTGAAACACCGCGGTCTGCCGGGGTCCGAGGTCGCTCGCACGGCCGCGCGCGCGGGCCGCGGCTCCGGGCATGAGCCTGGCGCGCGCGGGCAGTCGGGACTCGCCGCGAGCGGGGCTTGCCCGCCTCCAGCACGCCACCCCCCCCCACCCCCGGTCACACCAGCCCTGAGATTTCCTCCGTCTCCTCCTCTCCTCCTCCCTCCTCCTCCTCCTGCCTCTCGTCCTGCTCTTCCTCTGCTCCTCTCCTGCTCCTCCTCCTCCTCCTCCTCCTCCTCCTCCTCCCTCCTCCTCCTCCTCCTCCTCCTCCTCCTCCTCCTCCTCCTCCTCCTCCTCCATTCAAGGCCGAAGCCATGCAACCATCCGCAGGGACCCTATGCTTCAGGTCTTTCTGCGATAGTGCCACATCTCGTTGCTGACGAACCAGGCTCGCCGACGGGTGGGGTTTCTCCTCCTCCGCCTCCTCCTCGTTCTCTTCTCCTCCTCCTCCTCCGCCTCCTCCTCCTCCTCCTCCTCCTCTTCCTCTTACTCCCCATTACGGTGCTGAGGGCGATGCTGCTCGACGATCTCTGAAACAATGCCTGGCGCGCAGGTGCCAATGCTTAGACTCCCAAAGTCACAGCGCTGCCTGACATCTCAACAGGGGATGATGTCCCCACACGCCGCACTATCCTCATCCCCTGGGACGTGCGCCATGGTTTCCAGCGTTCCAGCGTGTTTCGTGTAGCAGTCGTGTTCAGCATGGGCTGGGCTGTCGAACCACTGGTCAGCGTTAGCTGCGCAGCGATTTGTCTCGTATCAAGTTGTACGTGGCGCATCAATTCCAAGATGCCCGCTCCAAATTCGGCGTGCTCGAGAAGGCCCTGTGCGCGAACCTCTTCGCTGAAGCAGCGCTGGCGACTTCCAGTACAACTTGATGCCCTCCTACGCGTGGCGGTGATGCAGCTGTCTGCGAAGAAGATGCGATGACTCTGTCCAACTCCGTTGGCTTGCGCGGGCGCCAGCTGGCGACTCTAGACCTGTGCCGCTGTCCGCGGTGCCGCCTGCCATCCCTGCTGAACTCCTGGATCTGACGAACATCGGCCATGGCCACGCTGCAGCAGCTCCCAGTGCAAGCGGCAGTCTGGCAGAGGCCAGCGCCACATTGAGGCGCTGGCGTGCCCGACGCCTGGGCCGACCACGTGACAACCGATCCACGCGGAGAGCCGCTCGTACCAGGATGCCCCCAGCCTCCTGCAGTCCGCAGCCTTCGACGGCGAAGGCCAAGGCAGGAGCTCGAAGCTCAAGGCCGACAGAACGAGAGCCTCCCCCTGTTCCTCACCCTCCTGCTGCCGCTCCACCTTTGCGCGCCGACGACGCGCGGGACCCTGAGATCCGCCGTGGCCCCCCAAAAATACAACGTCGTAGAAACCACGCCTGGAACCCTAGACCTTATCTTTCTGCATCATTTTTGGAACCGGATCGATCTGCGAGGGCCCGGGGGCCCGACAAAAGGCGGAAACGCCCGGTTCGCAAACAGCGGGGCGCCAGCATCGCAGCGGACGGTTGGGCGTTGCTGCGCGGCGGGGGGCCTCGCGTGGGAGGGCCAGGACCGGCTTTTCGTCCTGAGTCGCTTTGTGACGGCCCCGAGGCCCGGGAAGGGCCCCTGGAGGCCGAAAAGAGCGAACAACCTCCCGTCGTCGATGGGCCTGTCTGCCACCACCACCACCACCACCATGCGTTGGAGGGGGGAAACAGGTGGAGGATGAGGATGAGGCGGAGGAGGAAGAAGAGAAGGAGGAGGAGGAGGAGGAGGAGGAGGAGGAGGACGAGGAGGTTGAGGAGGAGGAGGAGGAGGAGGAGGAGGAGGAGGAGGAGGAGGAGGAGGAGGACGAGGAGGAGGACCCCCTCCCCCTCCCACTTGTGGTGGTGGCGGCGGAAAGCAGGCCCGCCAGCCGTGCCTCCTGCGCAGCGCGAGGCGGCCTGCGCCTGCGGCCTGGCCGCCGGCCGCTCCCGCCAGGCAGCGCAGGGCCGCTCCGTCCGGCCCGAGGGGAGCGCTGCCGCGCGGCGCTCGGCCGCGGCGGCGCTCCCGCGAGGTGGCGCTCCGGGCGCTCCCGCGAGGTGGCGCTCCGTGCCGGCGCCGGCGGGGGGTCTCGGCGGCGCCGCGGGCGCGGCGCGGCGCGGGCTCCCCAAACACGCTCGCGCCGGAACAAAGTCCGGAGGGGAGGTTTGGGGCCAACCCTGACTCCAGATCCGCCCTACTTTGTTTTTTTTTCCAACTTAGAATTGCGTCGGGAATCCACCTATAAGAAGCCGAAACAGTAGGGCGGAAATTTCTGCACCCAACAGAATGTAGGGCGGAAGCAGCAACAGAAAAGTAGGGCGGGAATTGGCATCAGCGGGGCTTGAAAAGTAAGGCGGACATTCCAAGCCCTACTTACGAATTTCTCCAAAGTAGGGCGGATCCGGAGTCAGGGAATTTCGGCCTCGGGGGGGCCTTCGCCGGGCCTCGGAAGCGTTAACAAAAAGGATCCAGGACGAAAAACTTGTCCCGGGGAAAGGGTCGGGACTTCCAGGGACCCCGTACTGAAAAAATCAGGACGTCGCATGTCTGGCTCAGCGTGTGGGCACCTCTCGGAGCTCCTGCTGCTCGCGGCGGCGCCTCAGCGCAGGCGGCGGCGGTGGAGGCGGCGGAAGTCGGCGGCATGGCGATCGGCGGGTCCTCCGACGAGCTCCACGACGCCAGAGCAAGCGCACTGCCGCCGCGCCCAACGAGAAAAGGGCAAGGGCAA